AAAATTTTATTTTCGCATTGCATTAATTTTAAGTTTCTGAACTGTGATGGGAACCGAGGGTAACAATGTTTTTTGCAATTTTGCTTCTTGTTGTTTTATCTTCATATGAGATGTGATTTGCCTTTATAATGGATTTTATTTTGATTGAATACCAATTATTTGGCTAAAACTCAAAGAACAAAAGATTTTCTTCAGCTACAAAAATTGATGTGGGAAGGAATCAAGAAAACTAAAAATTAATGACTTGAGAATTTCAGAATTAATGGTCCAAATTTTAATCGTAGGATTTTAATTACATACATCATGGCTATATCTATTCGCTTTTAGATTCTTATTTTTTTGCTTTCCTAAGTAATTAGTTTCCTAATCACCACTTTCAGATCCAAGGAGGCAACTTTGTAATTTTAAGGTTCTTGGCTGGAAAAGCTATCCCTAATTCTAGGAGTAATTGCAATTTAGTTTTAAGCCTTGCTCTTAAGAGTCCTTGTTGGCTTAGGGTAACAATATCGTTGTTAGTTTTAAATTTAATTGAGAATCCAACTCCCGTGGAGGATTAGGACTTGGAATTCTTTTTAGGGGGCAGCTGGTTATCAGCAATTTAATGTTTCTCGTGGAAAATTTATTTTCCTAGGGAAGTAGATATTTCGCAGGATAAGTAATTAGCAGAAACTGTTCAGTTATGTTGTTTTGGATGACACATAAAAATTTCCTTATGAAGTAAGATAATTCTGTTATTGATTAAAACTATGGGAAAGTAATAGATAGTATAAAAATATATTACATATATTACCCCTTAGTTTAAATATCTTTTATTTTAGCTTTAATCATGCCATGAAAATTTCTATGAAATAACCCAATTATAATTATATCTACACTTATTACCCCCTTGGTTTAAATATCCTTTTATTTACTTAATCATGCTAATGAAATTTTCCTATGATAACCAATTAACATGAAATATAAATATTGTTTTTGCAAAAAAGTACTTAGTAAATATAACTTACTAATAGATCAATATGTTATGAATCTTATTCTCCTAAAAATAATAGTAATGTAAAATATTAATATTTGTCTACGCTACTTTTACAACAAACGGGGTATCAAATGCAATTATATTTTTTAAAACATTTTAATTTTCCTTTTAGAAAAAATTTGATTTTTGCCAATCACTTGGAAATGAGAAAGTAGGGATGGTGCGGCATGCAATGAAATTTCTATGATAACCAATTAACATGAAATATAAATATTGTTCAAAAAGTACTTAGTAAATATAACTTACTAATAGATCAATATGTATGATCTTATCTCCTAAAATAATAGTATGTAAAATATTATATTTGTCTACGTACTTTATAACAAAGGGTATCAATGCAATTATATTTTTTAAAACATTTTATTTTCTTTAGAAATTTGATTTTTCCATCACTTGAAATGAGAAAGTAGGGATGGTGCGCATATATTCAGCAATTGGATTTTCTTGGGAAAGTAGAATTCCTGTACCAATCAAACATTGGAATCTTACTTCCGCTTGAGATTCCAGCAACCAAATGCTCCCTTAGTTTAAAGGTTTAGGGTCAGTTTAGTTCTGTGGAAGCCTGTGCTTGTAATGCTTTATAATTAAGATTCAGCCAAAAAATCTCTGCAATTTATGCCATTATCTATTCATTGTGCGATTTAATACTAACGCTAGAAAAGTGTGATGCTAGTAGTTTATTTATTTATTTATTTTTGCATACTTTTCCTTTGTTTTCTCAAGAATTCACATGTCATATTAATTTTCAATTTCTTTAGCTTCTAAAAGTCCAAGTACTTATCCTATGTCGACCATTTTACTGTCAATATATTTTTTGGCATATGAAGTTGCTACTTAAATTTGGAAAGTAGCTTCTAACTTATTTACAGCTGTTTGTTAATTTACTTTATAGGAATCATATTTCTTATCAAATGACAAAATATATGTCTTTACAATAGCCTAATGACCAAAAAGAATTCAAACCTTTGCTCATTCTGCCAATTTATCAAAACTTTAAAATTTTGAAGTCAGGAGAAATTGATACAATCAAAAGATTAGAAAAAAAACTTGAAAAAAAAAATATTTGGATTGTTTTAGTAATTAGGCTTTTTTTTATCCAACTCTGTTTTATGATTATTGATAGTCTTTCTTTTATTGGCAAATTCTGAATTACTGAGGGTAGCGTTTGAGGCTAGGGATTTGAAGAAATCAAGCATTTTGTTGGGACCTGCTGTATTTATGGTAGTTTATTTAGTTATCCTGTTTGTGTGCAGCTAAGAAGGTAGAATCAGTTCCTTTGTTAGCGGGTATCAGTGGGTGGTTGTTAAGCATGTCTTTATTGTAGTAGATAGTTATTAATCTTTAGCTTGGCATTCAGTTGTTTAAAAGGCTATGCATTAACAAAAGATCCATGCAGGATTTTAAATAAAGGTTTAAGTTCCTAAAACCCAGAGATAATAGAATTCTCTCTTAACAAATAGTAAGGTTCCCTCTTAATGGCCTTATGGAAAAGGCACTAGTGCTAACAAATTCAGATTCATATCTTATATTTTTCTGTTTGCGTAACTGTATCAGAATACAGGAATGTAACAATTTGGTATCAAAGCCAATGGTTATTTCAGATCCACTATATAGATAATTTCAAGCTTTTCCGCCTGTGGTTGCTGGTTCATTACGCTGAAAAGTACCTGCACTTGAAGTTGCAAACTTCCTTCTCTTTTTCTTTATAAACTCTCAATTCTCATGCTAGTTCCCAAAATTGATTTTCCATGGAAACCCTTTCCCTTTCCTTTCTGCTTTCGCCTTCTCTGCATCTTCTTTTGCACCTATCCTCTTGATACATAGTTGTGAAGGCTTGAAACTGTTTCTGTAGGTCCTGCAAATCTGCCATGATCACTGGCTTTGATGCCAAACTGTCATGGTCCCACGTTTATGATCTAGTTAGGTGCTTGTTAACACAAAAATTATACTTAGCATATAGAAATTTGAATTTGTTAGTATTTCTGCCTTTTCACCTGTTAGTGCTCGCTTAAGGGCTGATTAAGAGAGAACCCTATGATCTCTTCGAACTTGTTTGAGAGAATGATCCGAGTTTTAGGAACTCAAATCTTTGTTTAAAATTCTGTTTACATCTTTCATTAATGCATAGCCTTTTAAACAACTGAATACAAAGCTAAAGATTAGTAACTCCCCACTACAATAAAGACTTGCGTAAGCACCACCCACTAACAAAGAAACTGATTCCACCTCCTTATGTATACATGAGAAAAACAGAATAACTAAATAAAATTACCCTAAATACAGCAGGTCCCTCACACATCGATAGGGTTTAAACCTCATATGTGGTCTTTTTCCTCTTGTATTTGCTTGCTTGATAACAGGATTTTAAATAATGGAACTGCAAGCAGTAAAGAAACTATGTTGTGGAATTGACATTAACAACAGAATGAGCTGCCACTTTTATGGGCTTTTTAATGCCATTAGGAAAATCACTCAAATAAAAAAAAAAAAAAGAGATTGTAAGTTAAAAACAAAAAAAGAACAAAATATTACAAGATATTAATTGAATAATAACCTGAAGGAATATTTTATAAACTTTCATTTCGTTTGTTGTCTTACTATTTCTAGGTGATTGGTGAATCACCAATAGATAAATGGAAAATGACGTAACAGTGGTGTAAAATCCCATTATGAAATTACCTTTATTTAAACCATGATTGGTAACACCAGACAATCTTAGGATGTCTGCATCATTTTCTTTATTTATTCATTATGGTTTTGCTTGGATTTTCAAGTCATAAGCCATAAATAGCATGCAAAAAGATCTGAAGGACAGAAAATCCGACCAAAACTAATAAAAATTTGGTTAACTGAGCAGTGAATGCTTAGAGGCTATTAATGCTATGAAACTTAATATCAACTTTTTAACATCTTAATTTCTGATATTATTTATATAGGAATTTGCAGTGGTGATCATGGCAGGGAGGTGCCAATGGTTTTGACAGTAGAAACAGTGTTAGCAATAACTCAATTGAACTAATAAATCTAATATCAATAAATTATTTCACATAATTAATTGACTTCTTTTGACTGTATGTTCAAATTAGTTATGTTGGTTAATATCTGATGTTGCCAAGCTTTACTTGATTGATATTTTGGTTTGCTTGGAGCTTCATACTAGAATTCTTTGGGCATCAATTCAGTGTTTCATAGGTAACAAACACCTAGGTTGAATGCATTACACAATCCAATACTACAAAGTTTTCTATAATTTTATTTATCAACTTTATTGGGAAGTAGCACTAAAAGCTTGCACATTTTGATTCATTTTACTATAAAGCTAAAATAAATACTCGAACAGTTAAAATATTAGTTCCTGTGGGACTTGGTCTTCAGATTAAAACTAGATCCCACTATTACTAATCATGACTGTGTTAATAAATTTAATACTTAAAGCATTGCGGCCAGGCTATTCCAGCCATACTCGAAACTATTAATTTCCTTGGGTAAACATATATGGCTATAATAAAGAACTAGAAAACTATTCAATGTTTTCCAAATAAGGTTTGTTTTAGTAAAAATTTGGACTGTAAGTTATCAACTCTTTATACTTGTTTTTCCTTGATCTTAGTGCTGTGTGCATCAGCTTTCATATGGTTAGGATGGTTGCTGTTGCAATATCATAGACATTTTACATTTCTTAATTTCTGGTTTATGTTCTCTTTCCCATTATATATTTGGTTTGCAGATTATAGTGATTCGTTCTTCTATCTTGCAAATACTTTCTAATTATCCTTAATGATCTTGCTTTTTAGCTGTAGCATTTTATTTTATTTTTCAATGTTCTGCTTGTATTTGTTGAGAATGGCTGATAATTGAATGTGTAGAAATTCAAAAATAGAATCTGTTAGTTTTACTTCACATCTGTTGGTGCTTGTTTCATCAGGATGTCATATTAATTTTTCTTTTTTTTTGTTTCATTGTGCAGCATTTACAATCTAATGCTTCCCTTTTATATTTCTGGTATGCTGAGGTAGAACTTACTAATAATTGTGGAGATACTCAAGAGTCCTCATCTCGCGCATTGCATATACTATCCTGCTTAGGAACTGGAGCAAAGTACCAGCCATTTGAACAGAAACCATCAAACATGCAATTGCTGAGAGCACATCAAGGATTTAAAGAAAAACTGAAGACAGTACAATCAGCATGGTCACATGGTTCTGTAGATGACCAGTCCGTTGCTCTAATTTGTTCGGCAGCTTTATTTGAAGAGTTGGCAACTTGGTGGACTGCAGGTATTGAAGTGTTAGATGAAGCTTTCGCTATGGTGCTTCCAGGTCCGTAAACAATTCTGTGCTTTTCGTTTTCTTTTGTTCTCTTGTACCTTTCACTTTATAGGTATTTCATGGTAAAATCTATATGTTTAGATTGAGTCAGTGAAATGATTATGGTGCCTACAGTTTAGGAGTCGTCATGTACTTCGTGATTCTGTAGAATTGTCTACCTCTCTTTATACAATTTATGTGACAAGGACACAAATGTGAACTCATGATATTGATTTAAGATATTCTGTATCTAGTTACAAAATAGAAGACATGATTATATTATTTAAAAAAATACAAAATGCAGTGGACCCCTATAAATATTATTGTAAGTAGGTTTTAGGTTTCTGAAAATCCGGCAATTTTGGTGACAATACAAGGAATCATTTGTTAATAATAATGTATTGGAGAGCATACACAATTAAAATGATGATCTGTAGGATTTGTTTTCCTGTATCATGAACACAAAGCATATGCTAAACTTGTATAATTTTTTTCTTCTCATTGACTCCAGAACATATGTCAAGTACAAGGATTTGAACCATTCATAAGCTTAGGTTGCCAAAAACCCATTTGAGTGGATGATAAGTTAAACAAGCTTCAGTTAAACTACAGTTAAACCACAACTATTAAAATTCCAACTTTTGTTTTACTCGGTCAGCATATTAACCTCTAAAGTCTGAAAGGAAGTTCTGATGCTGGCAGAGGCAGGCTATTAAAATGAGTCATTGATCCATGTCAATTGTTCTTCTGTTGTAACTCATTCGATGTTTCTAACCTGCAGAAAGGAGGCGACAAAGTTACCAACTTGAATTTTTGTTCACCTTTTATACGAGGATGCTTCTAAGACATCATACGCAATCAAACTCATCTAATCTTTGGGGTTCTACCTTGAAGGGGCTGCAAGTATATCCTTGCAGCTCTGAACTTTTCAAGGCCATAGTGGATATAACCCATCTTTATGCAACACCCAATAAATTGCGGCGGCTGTTTGATGATTACTGTAATAAGTGAGATCATCATTTATCTCTGTTTCTGCTTCCTTTTTTTTATTTTTTATTTTTTTTTTTTTAAATTGGTTGTTTGCTGATTAATCTGAATGATAATGCTTTTGCTATTCTCAGGAAACCTTCTGTAATTGTTTGGATTTTTGCATTGTCATTTGAGATGAGCAGAGGAGGTTCCCATCACAGAATTCATGGGTTATTTGAAAGAGCATTAGCAAATGAGAGCTTGCGTAAATCAGTCATACTCTGGCGTATATACATAGCATATGAAATCAACATTGCACATGATCATTCTGCTGCTAGGCGCATTTTCTTCCGAGCCATTCATGCTTGTCCCTGGTAAGAGCTTGATGAGTTTATTAACACAGATATTTCTTACAATCAGAACTTACTAATTATCTAAGAAACCAGCTAATACTGCTATTATCTTGTTTGATTTTTGTTTATTCAAATTCAAATGGCAATTTCCTAAGAGTGACCTTTTGGTTTCTGATAAATTTTGGTGTTCTGATAATTGGAATTAAGGCTCCATTTGGTTAGCTCGTCTTTTTGCTTTTTGTTTTTCAGTTCCTATAATGTAATTTATATGAATTTTGATTTGAGTAAATAAGTGATAATGATTTTGCTTGATATTCAAGCAAATATTGATCTTGCAGGAAAGGACCAATTAGTACTATAAGGGATTGAATTTGGTTGTTCGTTAAACAGAACTTTTTTGCTGTAACAAAAAAAAAGAAAAAAAGAAAAAAAAGAAAAAAAGAAAAAAAGAAACCAAAGCTTTTTGGTTTTAAATACTGCCGTTTTTGGTTAACCAAACATTGCCTTTTCTTTTTCCCTTTTTTCTTCAAGTGGACAGAAGTGTAAACTAACCAAATGGAGCTTAATTTAACGCAATAAAATTTCTTCATCCAATATTTGCTGTTAAAATGCAGTTAAAAAAAAAAAGCTTTTCCTGAAATATAATTCTTGGAAATATTGTTGTCATTATCATCTCAGAAAATAACTAGTTTAAGTATTAATTGTGGAGCCAATCTTGTTTTTTCAACTGCTACTGCCAAATAGACATATAAGTAATAATTACTAAATCAGAAGCAAACTTCCTTCTAAAGAACAAAATTCTTGAGTAACCCCTAGTTACTGTAGCAGGAAGATAATAGGGAGTCACATGAAAATAAGAAAAAAAAAAGTAAAATACAAGAAATATGAATATCATAATCATGCTTCATTTGGGTTACAAAATAGGATTGAATAGGATTGGAATAGCTCTTCCACTGGGCATGAATGACATTTCTTCACTTATATGTGGATTTTTTTTTATTTTTTTAAAATTTTTGGAATAGGTAGTTTATGGTTTATAAAAGTGTTTTAAATTTTAACCAAGCTGACATTGTAGAACAGTTATTCTATGGAATAACTATAGTATTCTAATGCTATTCTGTGAATCAAGTAAAGTCTTGAGAGAAATAAAACAAAATCTCCTAAAATTCTTTTTACTGGTTGCATCATTCTCCCTTGTTGTAAGGAAACTTGTATGTGTTTTTGCAGTTATCAAGAAGGTTTCACACGTTATCTGCTCTATTATTATTATTATTATTATTATTTTTTTTTTTTTGGTCAAATTGACAGAAGTTGACGATTTGGCAGGTGGTTTTTGTTTCTTACCTTAACCTTACTGTTTTTGCCAACATTTTTAGGTCCAAAAAACTATGGCTTGATGGTTTTCTAAAACTGAGTTCCATACTATCTGCCAAGGAGTTGTCTGATCTCCAAGAAGTAATGCGGGATAAGGAGTTGAACCTCAGGACTGATATTTATGAGATTTTGTTGCAAGATGACCTTATATCATCATAATTGGAATGTGCTTGCTCATGGTTTTTGCCTTCTCTAGCAGCTGATTTTTGTAAAGTGTGTGCATATGTTCAACATGTTTAATACAACCTTACAATGTTTATTTTATTTTATTTTATTTTTTTTCCAATTACAATTCATAATTCTCTAAGAAAGTGAACTTTTAATTCAACTTATCATTGGAAATCATCTTTCTAGCATTAAAAATCATCGAATACACAACTATTGCAAGTCGTTTTGAGATTAAATTCATATTTAAGGTCAAATGACTCGAAGAAGCTTGAATTTTGGATTTTGATAATTTTCTACTTTTTCTGTGATATCTTTCCATTCTCTAATTTTTCAGCTTTTCTTTTCTTTTTCTTTTTTTCCCTTTTTCAGTTTTCTTGTTCTACCTTTTTCCTTTTCTGATCGATGAGACTCTTGTGCTTCGTGAATAGTCCTTCCTGTAGTTAATGACTAGACAAAGCTTCCATCATTCTAAGAGGAAGCTTGTTGATTCTAAGCTGAGATTTAGTGGAACTTCAAATTTCCCCCATTTCTGGAAATACATGTTTGAGAATTCAATGTCTAGATTTTTTTTATTTTTATTTCCTAAATTTTATCTTCAACCAAACACAAATGAAGAAAATTTCTTGCACGCTCTTTTTTTTATACGTTAAAAGAAACTGAAATGCAGTAAATCTTTATCTGGATCGATTTCCCTGAAAATGCAGTGAATTCATTCCCATTTCTGGATCGACTTCTCTGTAAAAATGAATGCCCTCTTCAGTTTTATTTTATTTTATTTTTTTTTTTATTAAGGTTCCGCTCAATAAAAGTTTGCTTGAGCTCATTCGATAAGCTTATTAAGCCAAGCTCGAGTTTTGCTCATTAACGATGAACCAAATTTATCGAGTCATGCTCGTAAGCTAGATTTATCAAGTCATGCTCACAAGCTAGATATCGAGCCGAGCTAAGCTCAGAAGATAAATTTTGAGCTCAAGCTTGAATTTGCCTCATATATGATTATTGAATTTGACTATTTTTAAATGAGTTGAGCTCGAACTTGAGTATATCCTTATCGAATTGAGCTCAAGTTCATTAGAACTTGGCCAACTCGGCTCTTTTAGAAATAGTTATCATTCAGGTGTTGATGGCTTGTAATATGTTAGGTATCCACAAAAATTGCCTACATATCCAAGCCTGTTTAAATAGAACATTTCCAAACATATCTCAAATTTATTTTAAATCTATTTATACCCATCCCAAATCTTTATATCTAAGTCTATTTAAATATAATGTATTCAATATATCTCAAATCTATTTATATCCATTCCAAATCCTTATTGATAGTTATAAAAATTAAAGAGTGTAGGAATACTATCAGATAGAATATGTCAAGTGTCCTTCCAAATGAAGTTAATAAGAGAGTTTTATAGCTAAGAATATACTACCTCCATTTCCATACTATTTATCACATTTGAGAAAACAATGTGTTCCAAAATACTTGTTATATATATGGTTTTAAGAAGTAATAAATATTTTTTTCGTGTTTATCTTTTGTATATGACCAATAATTATTACTTCAATTTAATAGTTTTTTTGAAGAATTAATATTAAATTAGGGGTAATATAGTTTATGTACTCAATAATTTATTGTAATTTAGACAAATTTAATATTTTTCTTAAAAAATGTAAAATTTCAAATATGACAAGTATATGAAATAGGGATAATAAATGTTAGACTTTAATTACCAAATATAGCCCTTAGGCTTTTATTACTAAATATAGCGGTTAGGTCATAAATATTAATTGATTATAGCCATTAGATTTTAATTACCGAACCGGAGACATGGGGAATAAATCTTCATAATCATATGCAACTGTCTAGGTGGAAAATCATTAAGTTCTTGGCCATTTATAGTTAGTTACTTGGTAATTACTCTTTAGTCATTGTCTTACGATACACTCTATCACTTATAAGTACCCATTATACACAAACAAATTCTGTACGATACACAAAAATCAACTAGTTATGTAATTATAATACAAATAGGACATTCTAAATATAATTATAATGCTAAGTATAACTAGAAATCGGTGTAATTATTTATTATAATATCATTAATTTAGGTATAATTTTAATAGTATTTGAGATTATACTTATGCGCTATAATACTATATACTAAATAGACTAAGATACTACATATCATTCATGTATGCAATTCATTTGTAGATTTTGAGGATTGTATTTTATTTAGTTCTAAGGGCGTACGATTTGGGAATTTGGGAATTAAATGGGTAGAATGTAACTACGACGAAATGAGGTTGTAATTCTTTTCCCTTCCTCTTTCTTCGGATGAATTTTGGTTTTATTATGTGATTGAATAATAATGCTTTATGAATGTCATGTTTTAATTAAAATTATATTAAAATGATTTTTGAATACTTTAAAATAAATAAATGGATAAATAATGGAGGTTGACCCTTAAGTCGGGCGATCTCAAGTGTTTAACACCTCAGATTCGTGCCTAACTTTCTTATATAGACTTTGATATGTGAATCGGATTCTTTTGGCGGGAATCCAATTCGTCATGCTAAGAGATGTATGTTTTCCCTAAAGAGAGTGGTGAATCCTTTAAATCTTACCAAAATAAGATATCATTTTCTAAAAAGTTCGAATTGTTTTAAAGACGATTTTATAAAACGTTGTCTTTTTTAAGATAACAAAATTTCAAAATAAATAAAATAATAATTTTAAAAATGAAAAAAAATGAAAACCCCGTATAATCCCGATTGTCTTAAAAAATGTTTTAAATAGTAATTAGAATTTATAAATTAATCCAATTTTGAGTCTAATAACTCCAAAAGAGTGGAAGTCAATACTATGCTTGGGTGATTTGGGTGCCCAACACATTCTCAAGTTTATACATTGCTTACCCAATTTTGGATTAAGGGGCTAGGTCCTTTTGTGTTGGAATTGAATTAATATTATGACATGATATCATAATCAGAATTGGCAGTTTCCATTATCTTGCATCTATTTATCTTCCTTTTAAGTCATTTTATCACCTCTTAATTGGAAGAAATTTTGGGTATGTGCTCCTGGTAAAATAAAGAACTTTATTTGGAGAGGGTGTGTGAATGTGCTTCCAATTTTACTGAACCTATTAGCTCAGCATGTTGATGTTTCTAGTGTGTCCGATGTGTGGATCGAGATTGAAAGCACTTACCATATCCTAATTTATTGCTCTTATGCCCGTCAAATTTGGCTGAACTCTGCTGTGAGATGGATTAGTAACGGCAATAGTTTTCCAGGGTGGGTATCCTTTGTGCTTTCTAACTTGGATAGGGACATGCAACAACTAGCCTTTTTCACTGTATGGGGAATATGGTACGTCATGAATCAATTCATTTGGAACCAGAAGTTGCTCTCTTTTGGTGCAGTCACGAGACAAGCAGTCGTGCTCTGCAAGAGTGCCGCACTGCAGTTTCTGTCAGTCCATTGTCTCATCTTGCGGAAACTCAGTAGCACAGAACCAAATGGGCTGCTCTTCCTAATGGCTCTGTTAAATGTAATGTCGACTCTAGCTTTAATGCAACGAGTAAGGCTGCAGGATGTGGTTGGGTCCTTAGAAGCTCAGATAGACACTACAAAAAAATGGTTAAATACAGACAGATCTGTTTCTGTAGGTATTTACCTACCAATTACCGATAAACTGCGATAGACTCGAGAAAATTGCAAATTATTAAAAGAAGAAAAATTTGATAGGCATTTAGTCTCTAATTAGCGACAAAAAACATTTTGTAGGTACTCAATAGGTAATGTTGGTGCCAAAATTTGGCAGATCAAAATCCCAATGGAAATCCAACTCATTACCGACAAATAATAGTTATAAATACCGACTGAAATGTATTCGGTATATAAGTGTAATAATTGAACGACAAAAGAAATAACCCTTATCTCAAAAACGGCAAAATAAAAAATTAGGACAAAAACATAAAAAAATCTAGGACTCGCAAAAGCCCTTCTCTCCCTCTCAAAATCTCGCTTTCACAAAAATTCTTCAATCGTTAATCTCTGCAACTCTCTCTTCCCGAAATTGGAGGTAACTCAATTTATTTGTAATTTATTTTCTAGGTTTCTAGATCAGTAACTGAAGTGTTTGATTGTGTTTAATCTGATTTCTAAGTCATTTCCAGAATCATTCTACTCTGTGAATGTTCGTGTTTCATTTGTTTTTTTTTGTTTTCTTTTTTCTTTTTTCCTTTCCTTTTACATGCGATTGCTCTTGGAGAAATATTATTTTAAACTTTAAAGGTATAGATGCTGTTATATTTAAAGGTTTTTTTCTTAGAGAAATTTTTTGGGTTTACTTCATTTTTTTTGCTATCGATTGTTAGAAAATGATGAACAAATGTACTGAATATGAGTTTATGCTGAGAAGTGAATTGAACGTTGAATTTTGATTCAGGCTAAAAAATATAAAAACTAAAACTAAAATATAAAAACTAAATTGGAATCAAACTAAAAATTGGCCAACAACAATAAAGCTACAAAATCATAACTTATGCCAATGTACTTTGCATGGTTCTATCATTGGTTCGGCAAAACTTATATTGCCAAATGCCCATCCTACAGATATTATTGAAAATCCATTGTGCTTTGATTAATGATTAAGAATGAGATGAAAGTATTGAAAGAAATCTGTAAAACATTAGACTCGGAGAAATCTGCAAAATCATAACTAAGCCGTTTTATTAGTCTCTAAAATACCTCCTGCAGCACTTATTGATCACTAAAATTTTATCTTTCTGTTCTGGGAATTATTTTTCCTGTGAAATGTACTTTTTGTACTCTCCTATGCATTGCACTTATTCTTCACCTACTATTTTGTGAAAGAAGGAAGCTGTTGAGATGCTCTCTGTTTTTTTTTTTTTTTTTTCTCTCTTTTTTTTTTTTTTTTTTTGGTTTTATCCTTTGGTCCTCATCTCAATGGCCTGGCATGTTTGTGTTTCCTTATAAATTAAATTGATTATCTTCTGTCTGGTTTTGCGCTAGAATTCTAGAGTGACGGTAATTTGTGTTAACTTTTCAGATAAATCGAAAATTTTCCTCCCAATACAAATCATGGTTATGATTTATGAAACCTGAAATGCATTGGTGCAGATTTATCAAAGAGATGCTTGTTATTATATTTATTATGAAATCTTTTATTTGTTTGAATCCTCTGATATCCACAATGTGTTGACATCAACTGTGTGACAGTGTTACTTGTGTCAATTTCTTTCATTATGTTGTATAACTAGGAACTTGTGTTATGCATTATATGATGAGGTTTTGAGTTTGTTGTTGGCTGTGATGTATATTCATCAAATAGTAGAAAACAAAAACAAACAGCTTCTTGATTTTGTAATTATGATGTTTATTTATTTGTTCATATGTTTATTTATTTGTAAAGTAAAGTTCAAACACGTGAAGTTAAAAAAAAAAGGAAGAAGAAGAAAAGAAAAGTTAAAAAAAAGAAAGCAAAAGCTTACTGGGTCATTAGGATCATAACATTGTTGTGTTTATGAAGTTTGATTATTTTGCTTTACTTTCTTCCAATAACGATCATAATCATTCTTCTCTTCATTTGAAAGAGATAAATTACGCATATCTCTTCTAGAACGCTTTTCACTAGAGTGAGAATTCAATGCACCTTCAACTACTTCTAATTGATTAGGAGTTGTTGCAACTTGAATTGGGATGCCATTATTTGAAGGATTTGATTCATCACTAGCTTCTATAAAGTAGTCTTTTTTATGGAAGTGCTAGTTACCTTTTCTTTAGAAGGATTAACAACTACTTGTGGTTTTATCTTCAACATAATTGGTGCTTCTCTCTTACCCTTCTCAATAACAGATTCTTAGGGAGGATTTAAAGGAACACATCTACCTTTTTCAACATTTGAATTCTTTAAACGAGAAGACTTTGAAGATTTCAAAAGGAACACATCTACCTTTTTCAACATTTGAATTCTTTAAACGAGAAGACTTTGAAGATTTCAATAATTTTGGGATTGGTCTTAAATTTAGCTTATCATCTTTGAGGAAAAACTTTAGACCATTCCACTTTCCACCAATCCTTATACGCTTCAGTATATGAAAAACGACCATCAAGTTTCATTGAAGGAACAGTTACTTTAGCACCACTAGCCAGATGAATACAAGATTCTCAAAGCTGTATGACAGTCTCCAAAGATACTCTTGAAAAGGATATATCCATGTTATCAGGAAGATCTTGACAATAACCCAACTATCTATGAGGATTGTATGACTCAATGATGTATTGGTTCTTATAGTGTAAAGTTAAGAAGCTTGAACGGAGATTGATGAGGTGTTCCACTTGATGTGAAGACAACTTACCATTATCCTTCAAAAAGAAGTCTTTCTTCATGATATGAGATGGACCCAAATAAGCTTTCATTTCCATAAAAAGTTTCATGACTTCAGTTTCATTATAGTACTTGGCCATTCGTTGTCCACTATAGGAAGTCATCTTAGCATCTCTGTCAATACCATGCATAAATGCGTGTCAAAATGGTTACTTAGCCAAGCATAAACATAATGGAAAGGCAATGTTACTTCACACCTCTTCAAAGTTGTAGTAGTAGAAATTGCTCGAAGGTCTCTATAAATGCTTGCCAAAATAAGAATAGCCAAAGAAAAGATTTCACCAGATGTGATCATACTTGCAACCTTGAAGGTGCTTGGACGAATAAGATTCACTGGATCATGTGGAAGTACACACATGCATAACCAACAAGGAATCAAAGCAACCAAGTAAACTTCTTCCCGTAGATCATCTTCCATGTTCAGAATTTCAAAAGGCTTTTGCCAGTTTGCATCTCACGGCAATTTGTTGCCAATAACACCTGAAGGATTGAAATTCTTCTTGGGAGGAGCAGTTCTTTTGGTGCAATCTTTTTCAGGAGGCTCAGGATTTCTAATAGGACCGCGGAACCAAAAGTTCACCCAGTTGTGTACATTTAACTCAAAGCTGTTGTCAACCCATTTGACAATTTTGTACTATACATAAAATAAGTATTTGCAGCTTCACGGTAAGAATGGAGTTCCACCTTCGTCGACTCTAGTAAGATCTACAGCTGAAGAGATCATCTCATCATAAAATGAGCCATGGATTGGAAGTCCTCCTAGGAACTTCAAATCCGAAAGAGAAATCGACTCTTCTCCAACTAGGAGGAAAAGAGTATTTGTTGAAGCACTACAATGTTCACAGAAGCAATGAATGACGTTGGGGAAGTGATCATAAGTGAAGAATGATGCGAATAAATCATGATACAATTTGGCTTTCAAAAGTAGTTGCTTATTGCTTGCTAACACATCTTCAAGCCACTCCCAATAGTGTTCGATGAAGGAAAATTCACCAGCAAATTTGAAAGAAAAATGCTAAGAAACTTCATTATTGTGGATGCGACTTTTCAAAAGCGGAAGATTATTTGATGGAGTTTGAAGCGAGTGAAGTGAAGATTGCAACAAACAACATTGGACGTGCTTAACTACTTCATGTGAAATTTGGAATTCACATGAAATTTGGAATCCTTTTCATCGTTGCTCAAAATTTTCATACATGGAATTTTGCGATTTTTTCATACCATGCGAATTTGCGCAGAAGCCGAAAGACAATTAATGCAAATCATTTTGATGAAGTTTTCAAAATGCAGTCGACTAGCAAAAAAAAAAAAAAAAAAAAAAAAAAAAATCAAAAGAGGACTTGTTAAAAAATTCAATTATGACAAGTCCATGGCGAAAATAATTCATATGAATTTAGAAAGAGATCAAATCAAGTTAAATTCATGTGATCAACCATATTCAAGCCAAATTAAATTCCCTAGTTGCTGGTTATCAATTAAATCATGCAAGCATATGGGGTTACTATTCATGGTCATCAATTAAGAATTTTCAAAAAAAAAAAAAAATTTCAATTAAGCTTAAACGAAGTCAGTACCATGCACAAGTAATTCATTGGTCAAGATTGATTGTAGGCCATGGTTTGATGCAATAGACAAAGAAAAGAACGACATCATCAAGCTATGTAAAGGAAAAGAAAAACGAAAAAAAAAAAACAACGAAAAAGAGGGCCTGACTATGCAATTAATATAATATCTGATCATATAAGGCTCAATAATCATGTTGGCCATGTACACACATGTTTAAATACATGTAAAGGCCTAAAGCTTGATAATTAAGACATGTATGTTGAACCATGTTAAGCATCAACGCATATGGTATATTACTCCAAATTGAAAATTCTAATCAAGCAATGAATAAGCCAGTTGTCATTGCAACATTAATAAAAAAAAAAAAAAAAAAAAGCATCAAGTTATTCAACTGGCCCAATAAGCCATCAAGGCCCATGCAAAGGGACTGGCACATACAGGTGAAGTCAGATCTATGTGGTAAAAAAAAAAAAAAAAAAAAAAACAAATTCTTTGTTGTTGACACATGCAAAGGTATTACAAGACAAAGCCAAAGAGCACTATAACTTGGCAAATTAAAAAGAAAAAAATTTGAAAAGAAACATACCTTAGACTGAACGCTGTGTCGGGAAGCGATTAAGCCTACAGTGGAGAATACGTGGACCAGATCTTGAGGTTGATGCAAAACCAAGTTGTTGCAAATTTGCAAATTGAATGCAGATATATCTTGGCGGATGATTAAAGAGCATATTTATTTTTATAATAGTTCCAAGTTTGATGTAAAAAAAGGGGTTTGAGACAAGGGTTCTTTTATAAAAGATTTATCAACTTCCAATTTGAGAGGATTAAATCTTCAATTTCAAATTCGACAAGAATTTAAATTCTTAAACTCCAAATCATCAAGGATTTTTATTTCTTGAAAGATAAGAAATTAAAAACATAGGAAATTCTAATTATTAAAAAAAATTAGAGTTTCATTATTTGGGCTAAAAAAAATTAATTGGCCCATTGAATTGAAGTTGCCAAATTAATTTGGAAGTTCAAGTTGAGAAAAGAAAAAAAAAAAAAAAAAAAAAAAAAAAAAAAAAAAGAAATTCGTCGAAATAGAGATTGCTGCAAATTCAAAGCAATATGGTCATTTTCAAATCAAAAGAGCCATGCAAGTCACACAAAGTCCACGTCACACCAACATGGAGTGGAGAATTCCAACATCAACGTTACCATTCATGCAAAAAGAAAAAAAGAAAAAAAGCATGAATTAAATTAAATCTTCTTCAACTTTCGAGACCCGTTCAAATAAATTTTTAAACAAGTCTTGAGGGAGTATCTGTAGACATCAAAATTTTATTAAGTTAATTTAATTATTATTATTAAGTTAATTTAATTATTAACTTAATCATTTAATTAGTCAATTAAATTATTGATTAATTAAAATAAATAAATTATTTTAATAACCAATCAAAATATTTAAATGGTTATTAAAATAAAATTATTGGTAAATATTATTTACTGCATGAATAAATGATGTAGTAAAATTCAATAAATAATTGGCCAAGTGGACCAATTAAATTAAATATTTGTGAATAAGTCAGGCGTCTACATAAGCTAAGTGATGCAGCAGCAGCCAATGAGAATTTGCAGTGGACCAATCAAATTACATACGTGGCAATGGGACTCCCTCAAATCTCTATAAACAGGCGGCCTCTCTTCACATACGGGGATATACACAGATATAGAGAGAAAGACAGAAAAGAAGCCTCAAAGCTCTATCAAACTCAAGACTATAAAAAGTCTCTTCCAAGTCCAAAGAATCAAAGTTCCTTCAACTTTAATTCAAAATCAAGTTTCTTTGACCCTTGAATCGTCTAAAGTTCTTTCTACAACAATTCAACGTCAAGTCCCTTCGACCGTTGAATCATATTTAAAATCAAGTCGTTTCGACCCTTGAATTGTGTTCGCGACAACAAAGAGAAGAATCAGAAGATAATCTTCTTTTAATAGGAGATTCCACACTAGAGATTGTATCCACTTAGTATCATAAATTCAATTTGTATTTTTGTATTAATTCAATTTGGTATTTTTGTATTTTTTGTTTCTTAATTTTCAGGAAACAAATTTTATGCTTACAGTGTTTCTTAATTTTCAGGAACAAATTTTATGCTTACAGTGATGCTCGGTGACAATTCTATGTTGATAACTTTTATCAAATGAAGAAGTTGGTTCAGGGCTTAGGCCTGCCGGTTGAGAAGATAGATTATTGCCGTAATAACTGTATGATATTTTGGGGCAATGACAGTGAATCAAGGGTGTGCAGGTTTTGCAACGTTCCTATATATAGAAAGTGATGTCAAAGAACTTGAAGACAATAGAAAGAGAAAGCATTTAAGAAAATGTATTACTTTCCGTTACTCTACAACTTCAAAGGCTATATGCATCTCATACTACAGTTGAACAGATGCGATAGCATGCGGAACATGAA